CAAAAAAATGCAAATTAATTTCTAATTTAAAACAAAAAAGATAAAGTATTTACAATATATTTTGTTTTGAAGTTTTGCAAAGTTGTGTGTGTGTGTATCTGTGATTTTTTTTTATAAAGCTAGGACACGACGTGTAAATAATGCAACAGTCCAGACTGCACAAACAAAACAATCCCTTTTATCCTTGGCCTTCAAACGTTACCGCCAAATGCCAACTTTTTACCTTTCAAAAAAAAATGTGTGTCAGCTGAAACTGTTCAGTTTGTCAAGAGGATCCCAGCTCCTGCATGAGACTTTTTTTTTTCCTAAAGCTAAACGTTATCCATACTTAGCTGAACAACGACTTCACTGAATATTTCGTTTGTATTCCTTTCATTGTGAATTGAAATACCGGTACGTTAGTTAAATTATTATACTATTCTTCCATGAGCAATCAGCAGAAGGCGGTACTGCTGCAGACGTGCCACATCACAAAGAAAAATATTTTATTACTCTTGAATGAATCTCGACCGTATTAGCCCATAGTTACAAGTGTGAACAATGCTCTTATCTTTCTTATCATTACCAATCTTACAACTTATCTTACAAACTGTTGATGTTCCTTCAAAAAGATTTTTAAGTCCTTCACTTATCCAATCTCAATCATTGTTGTGCTAGAGTGAAAAAAAAATAAGGTAAATAGTTATAAAAATATTATACAGTGGGAGCTGGTGTCAAATACTGTACAATAGTTTGGACTTTGGAAAATAAAGTCGTATAGGAGGGGAACTATGCTTACAAATAATGTTTAATTCATAGGGGATTTTCATATTTCACAGCAATTTTCTCTTTAAGTTTTATGCTAAGTCTTAAGAGTCAAAACAAACAAAAAAAATAACATCAAATAAACATAGAACTCCTGTAAGAAATCAGTCACGTTGGCAGCATGCTAGAGACGCGCACCTGTTCTTAAAAATATTGCAGGCTACGTCATATTACCGCATAGTCTATATTTAGTTGTCCTTAAAAAGAGGTCAGTTTTTCTGTTGTCCTTAAAGTTACGTTCATAATTTTTATTTTAACATTGTTTTAAATACAACATTAAAAAATTTTGACGTTTAATTAAATTCAATATCAAGTTTGCTCATGAGTAATGATTAGCCATTGCCCGCCAAAAAAAATAAATAAATATAAAAGCCCAGAAAAAGACATTTCACCCGCCAACTCTGGGTATTGCTTTTTTCAGTTCGCTCCCCTTCCCGTCCCTTCCACAACCTCTCCCTAGCTCTGAATGGGGATTCGTTCCTTGTTGTCAGCAACAGTCAACCAATCGTCTCGCGCACAGCCGTGCGTTCAACTTGTGCTACACTACTGATCATTATAGCTGCTAGAAAAAGGGCGGAAAGTCGTGAGTAACCTCAGTTGCGCTCAATACGAACTCAAAGACAAATCGAGGTTTAAGTTGGCTCGGAGAGTCTACCGTAAGAAGACCTTCCACCAGCTTTCTCGGATTAAAACTGAACAACTATGTCGCTCAAGTACGACGAAGTCCCGACGACAGAGATAGTGGTCAATGATGTGGATATCGATGAGGGGATCGCTGAATGTGTCATCATAGACATTACTGACCAGGTAAGACTTTTCATTTTCCAACATTCTAGCTGTTTACCTAGAGGTAGTTGCGTGAGTGAGTGGTAGGCATGTGGAAGTGACTTTATTCTCTCGTCAACCAGGCCCATGGGCTAGCTTCTGGACCACTTCTCCCTAAAAAGGGCAGTCCGAATGGAGCACTGACAACGGACATCTACAAGGATTCGAAAGACTCCGGTTTTTCGTCTCGTGTGTCCGAAGTCGATGGAGTTGAGACGGATGAGAGAAAACGTCGCATGCTCCTCACTGACCAGAAGGCATTGGCTACACGCCTCACTAGGATCTCAGAATGCCAAAATGGTGCGTTTCATTTTTTTGGTTAAAACAATCGCTTTACAATCACACTAAAAGTATTAGACTAGCTGTGATTTTGAGGAGGACGGTACAGACTTTTTAGACTAAACAACGCTAAGACTTTTTTTTTTACCATTTCAAGCCATTTGTTAAATGTAGACATCAAATTTAATACATCTCTAGATTAGTAAATAACTGAACTAGTTACAGATCTAGATGTAATATAGACTAGACAAATCTATATCTAGATTTGAACTTTAGATCTAGATTTGTTTTTGACTGAAAGACATTTTTTGACAGCTGTTATGATCTATCTAGAGTCTAGATATAGCCTCTAACTAGAGTAGATCTACAGTATTTTTTGAAGCATGGATCTTTTTTTTTCTTTCTAAATTATGCTTCTTTTTTATTATCATAGTTCGTGATGTCAAACCATTTCAATGATATTGATTCTTAGGAAAATAAATCCTAAGTTGTTTTTGTTTTGTGTGTATTTCTTTGTTGCGTCATTATCGTATCCCGCGTGGTTGTTAAGACTATACCATACCGGCTCAAAGCGCGCAGTTATGCGCGCGCCGGCTGCCTCTTTTTTTAAACCGGTATATTCTAACACAGTTCCTGCTTGAACTGGTTTGAACCGGATCGTATGTCTCGCCTAGGCAGAGCAGTGTGAAACGAGGTCAAATAACTGGGGCTAAATATAACTCACAAAATATCCTACAAAAAGATATAGGAATAATGTTTAGAATTGTACCAAAATTAGATTACACCTATTACAGATTTATCGCGAAACCTTTGTTGCAAAGAAAATGAATTTTTAAAATTTTTTTTTTCAACCGGGAACTTTTTTTTTTAAGTGGGTCGGAAGTGTCTCCTGTGTCGTCCTCTAGTAGTGTTCAATATTGTGAGACTTCCTTTCTTCAGACTCTCAACTGCAAAACTATCCTTGCATGACACCTAGTCATTTGTGATTCATTAGTATGTTACCTCATAGGGTAAATATATTCCTTTTTTTTCAGAGCAACGAGGTGAGTATGATGTGTTTGTGCTGCTAATGCTTGCCTAGTCGTCTCCTGGCCTGCTATTTTCTCTTGAAAACCTATTCCCTTGGTTGTTACCATTCCAAATTGGAACTAACCTTTTGTTGTTGTTTGTTTTCTCAACCATTAGATGACTCTTGCCATTGCCAACCCAAACAAGTTGCTCTTGTCATACTCAAGACGTTGGCCGTGGTGGCACTCCTGTACTTATTCATCTGTACCCTTGACCTACTCAGCAATGCATTCAGATTGTTGGGAGGAAAAACTGCAGGTAAGAGACTACCGTACACCACAATGGTAGGCCTACTTCATTCCCAAGTTCATGTGAATTTGTGTACATCCTGATACAACACACCTCTAATGAACTTCTTAAATTATAGAACAAAACAGATTCATCTCAGATCTAGTAACACAACAAAGAAACAAAATGTCTATTAAAAAAAAGTTACATATATTTTATATATAAGATCCATTTATCCAACAATAAATGAATGTTATTTATTTTGACATTTTCAGGCAGTGTGTTCCAGGACAGTGCCTTGCTGGCTAATCCCATCACTGGCCTCATGATTGGTGTATTGGCTACTGTTATCCTGCAGAGCTCTTCTACCTCCAGTTCTATTGTCATCACCATGGTGGCATCAAAGAGTATGTTTTATTTCTTATGCCCTTTTTTTATTGTTATCAATGTTGTATAGATTACATATAACTTCATTGTTGAAATGTTTAGTGCCTTTTGTTGTTAAAAACCTTTGGTCACATTGAAATATTCTCAATGTTGTATAGTTTACATATAACTTTATTGTTGAAATGTTTTGAGCCTTGTGTTGTTTTGTCAAATTGAAATATTCTCAATCTTTGTGCTGCAGTTATAGATCTTCATCCCGCTATCCCAATCATTATGGGGGCCAACATTGGCACTACAGTCACCAATACACTGGTTTCTCTAGCACACTCAATGGACCGTAAAGAGTTCCGCAGAGCTTTCAGTGGTGCTGTGGTAAGTCTTGCATAATTTTTAAAATAACTTTTAATGTTAATATACCAGTATATAGTTATCATCTTTCAGAATGGTAGTTGTATTTTTTTTTTAGAAACTAAAAACCCTGTTCCTTGTTTAATTTTGAATAGGTTCATGATGTCTTCAATTGGCTTACTGTTTTAATTTTATTGCCACTGGAGCATTTCACTGGTGAGTTTTAATAACTTTGTTAAAGAAAATAAATTAATGTTACTACTACTAAAAATAAGGATTAGTCTCTAATTACAGATATATTATTATAATATAGCTTATTGTATTATGTAATATAACTTGTAACATAACATATTTTTTGTAGGTTACCTGTACTACCTGACTGGAGCAATAGTGAATAGTTTGGATATACATAATTCAAGTGCCAAGGATCAAGACTTGTTAAAGAAGATTACTAAACCCTTGACTAGTAAAATTGTTCAGGTTGTTATGAATTAGATTTAGCTCAAATTTAAAGAGACATTTCTCAATTTGTAATCTTAGCTGTTTTCTTCATTTCATTCTTAGTGTTTTGGCATGTTCATTTTATTCATTCTTTGTCTAAAACTGATCCCTTTTTTTGTTTTGTTCTGTTAGATTGATGAACATGTGATAACTGCAATAGCAGAAGGAAAGCAAGAGTTTGCCAATCAGTCAGTGCTCAAGGTATATCATCTATAATGTAACAACAAAACAATTTGTTGATCTGTTCAAAATCATAGAGATTATTCTGGTATTTGATGTGAATACTTTTTCTTGTTGCTAAAATTTTTACAAGAAATATTTTTCAGTTATCATTATTTGCAATTTTTATTGTGTATTTTTGTACTGGGGCATAAAAATAAAAAGATATCTTAAAATAAACGACAAGGGTTAATTTTTTTTATATATATACATTTATATATTCTATGTATTGGCAGATAAACTGCAAGTTGTCTAAGGTACAGCAATATGTGTTAGTAAATGAATCTATTGTTGACAATGTCACTGGAGATGTTTCATGGAATGTTTTCAACCGAAGTGTGATAGTGACACCAACAGAAACCTGTGAGTATAGTGAATGTTTTTGTAGGCAACTTAGTATTTACTGCATTTTAAGAAGCAACTATCTTTTTTATTGTTGGAGGGGGAAATTCTTTTGAGGAAAGAAAAAAATTTTGAATTCAACTAATGCTAATACTATATAATTATGTTTTCAGGTAATACATTGTTTAACTTGATTGGCTGGAGTGATACATCCTCTGGAATATTGCTTTTCATCGTCTCAATTGTTGCTCTCTCACTGTGTCTGTATTTGATGGTAAAAGTGCTCCACTCTCTGCTAGGAGGACAGATTGCCAAGGCAGCTCGCAAGACCATTAATGCAGATTTTCCCAAACCTTTCCACTGGCTGACTGGATACTTTGCCATCATTGTTGGTGCTGGAATGACTATCTTGGTCCAGAGCAGTTCTGTCTTTACTAGTGCTCTCACACCATTAGTTGGAATTGGATGTTTGAAGATTGAACGCATGTATCCATTGACCTTGGGATCTAATATTGGAACCACATTTACAGGTAGTTATTTTTAAATATTTTTTTAGTACGTAGAATTTTTTAAGGGTGTATCTATTTTATGAAAACCAAAAAAGTAATGGAAGGTTACTTTATGTAATTAAATTTTCTTTCCAGGAATACTGGCTGCTCTGGCTTCATCACCTGATACACTGTCCACAGCACTTCAACTTGCATTCTGTCACCTATTCTTTAATATCAGTGGAATTTTACTTTTCTATCCAGTACCTTTCATGCGTAGCATTGTTCTGAACACAGCCAAGAAACTTGGACGCACCACAGCTCAATACAGATGGTTTGCCATAGCATACCTTGTTTTTATGTTCCTTGTTTTCCCAGGCATTTTCTTCCTTTTGTCATTCGCTGGTTCAATTGTCTTCATTGTATTTGTCAGTATTATAGCTTTCATTGCATTTGGTGTGGTGGTTATTAATGTCATGCAGAGATATGCTGCTTTGAAAAGATGGTTACCCCTGTGGCTGCATAACTGGAAGTTCTTGCCAGAAGTCATGAGGTCATTGGCCCCTATTGATAGATGTTTACAGAAAGTTGTTGAGCCACTTCGCAACTGTTGCTGTGAATGCTGTACCAAGCGATGTACATGTCTGGCAGTGAGTGACATTGATAATGGATATATTGACAGCGACAGTGAGATAGACTCTTCTGCTTATTCCTCTTACCTTCCATCAGCTGCATCCTCGAGAATCTGGAATTCACAGTCTGGTGCTGACTTGAGGCATTCAGATTCTAGTCGAAGAATATATAAACCCAAGGAGTTTAGTTCCAGAAGAAACAGTTTGAACAAGAAGTCCTCTCCACTCCTTAATAGGGTGGAGGAAGAGGCCCCTTCCACCAACCTGCTTCCTTTACCCCCAACCACTCACCACCACCCCAACTTCTACATATCTAAGTCTGATTTGAATTTGAAAGCCCAAGACTGTGATGAGAAAGATGCTTCTGTTCAAAGTTCAGAGCTTACAGGTCAGGATGATAGCAGTGTCAAGTTTTTAACAAATCTTGTTACTTTGAACGAGAGCAAAATATAAATGTCAAGGAGTATCAAAGACTGTGAATTTCTCCTGGTAGTTGCCATACTTCCTGCTACCTAAGCAACAGAAGCTGCACTAGCATCAGCATTCTATGTCTCAGAATTAGCTAATGGTATGCTGAAGTATTCATTGTTGCCCTTTTGGTGTAACATTACTGATCTGACACATCATGGTTACTAGACCACACCTGCATTATGTCATCTGCTACTAGTGTTTACTACCATCTTCCCAGTGTTGTGCACTATCTGTCCTCAACAGTATTATGTTATTAAATTATGTATTTATGTGGTTTTGATAACAAGCATGGACTGCCATTCCATTAGCTAACTTAGTCATTCCATAGTGATTGCCCTTGCTTTGTGATATTCACAACTTCAGGCATAAAAATCATTACATGTATTTATATATTTCACCAAGACCCAATTTTGATGTGCCATAGAACAACAGTTAAATATAATCTTGGTGGTTAGTTTTATTCATCAACATATCAGAATTCTATGTTTTTGTAGTTACTGTAGTACTAGTCAATATATATTTTAGTAAAGGGAATATTTTTAGGGAGTTCAATTGACCAAGGGTTAGCAACTACTGAAACTATTCTAATATGCATTAATTGTGGGTAGCCCTATATTGGCTTCAGCGAGTCTAGAGAAAGTTGCAACTTGTAATTAGCTTTTTCTGTGAGTTGTTTTTTTTTGTTTCAATAGCTTTAAGGTACTCTACAATGATCTGTATTGTGTGTAAATAATGTTAATTTGCTGTACAGCATGTTTATGTACATATATTTATTGATTGTTTGAATGTACAAGTGAGAGTATTAGTTATCTGAACTAAATTTAGGTTTACTCATAATTTTTTATTTATTTTTTTTGTTAAATACTAGAAGAGTTGACCACTTATAGTTAGAATGAGGTAACAATGAATGCAAGAAATGTATATATAGAATCTCACTTCTGCTAGATTTTTTTTTACAAATCATTTGTATAAATAAAAATTATTTTGAACTACCCATACTTATTTATTTTTATTTTTTTTGCATGTTGCTTACATTGTAATGAGCAAGATGAAATACTGAGATCCAGATCTAAAAATAGCCTTTAGGTCTACATGTCAGTACATGTAAGAATGTGTCACATTGTATTTATAATTTATAGTCTAAATTCTGGTAGTAGATCTAGTATTTGTAATTACGATTAAGTTAATCGTAGTAGACTAAGTCGGTGACTGACTAAATAGTCTGTAAGGTAGTTGAATCAAGACCAAACCATGATTACTCACTTTTTCAAATAAATTATAGATTAATTACATTTAGAGATCTAGATAGATGTCGATATCTCTGTGAAAACCAAAATATTCCTTACTGAAGTCTGCATCAAGCGGTGAGCTACGATAGACACCACATGTGTATACCGGAAGAAAGTTAAATCTTTCTATTCTTATTAAGACTAGACAATCCATGCCACTGATGCCAGACCTTATTTTTCTATATAAGAAATGATCTCATCTTCAGTCTTCGGCTATTTAACTACGATATAATAAATTTGTCTATTTTTTGTGAGAGGGTGCATTAATAATTTTTGAAGAAAGTTTGCTTTGTAACAAAGTCTGTCTCTAAATTTAATAGATCTAGGCCGAAATGCCGTTTGATGAAATGTCCTAAACAAGGAAATGTCTAAATAGAAACATTTATTTGACAGCTGTAGTATGGTTCAACAAAAAGGACCAAGCATTGTTTGGAATTTTGTTTTTTATTTCAATGAATAGGAAAGGAGGGTAATAGCATGGGCTGACCACACTGGGGGATGCCACTACTAGATCTAAATGTTTTACAACTGCAACAGACGTAGCAATGTGCAGGCCGAACTGGTATCAGCTGCTGTAAAATGTTTTAATTGTTTCGGATGTTCCTTCAGAGTTGAAGATAATTTACTTCCTAGTCCAATCCTCCCACAGGGCGACGAGGGATAGGAGCGGGCAGGGTTTGAACCCTAGACCATTGATAATTCCGAACGACAGTCCAGTGCGCAAACCGCACGACCAGGCAGCCATCAAACTTTCCCCCAAGAATGTAGGCCTATTAACCTTTTGAATATGAGATTTAGATGTATCAGTCTGCTTGTGTCCCGTCATCACAATGGATCGGTTTTTTAGCAACTCGCCATAGACAGTAGCCTATGTAATTTATAAATAGAGCACTATGCGGGCATCACAACCAAGGCTATTTCTTGAAGATAGTGGAATTAATATCCAAGTACGATCTCTGTCAAGAGAGAAGATATGCCTCGAACCAAGGTTTTGTTTCAGTTTGACAATTGTTAGATCTAGATGAAAAAAGGGCTATATCAGTGGTTCTCTGTTAACAATTCATTATTCGCTACAAAAGTTTTTTTCGATTGGATAATTTGTGATCAACTCGCCCCTCACTACATAGGTCTACTGTTTAATATTGTTATTACTGGTATATTTATTCCATAGGCGTAGCCGGGGGGGGGGGGGTTTCAATCTCTCCCCCAGAGTTATTGCTTTGATTTTGTTTATTTTAGGTGAGATTTTAATATTAAACCATTACTTGCGCCAGCGCAGCCAAGGGGTATTTTGAGTTGAAAACCCCCTTCCAAGGGGGGGGGGGGAGGGTTGCTGTTAAACCCCCCTCTTCTATAAAACAAACAAAAAAATTAATATAAACAACAATTCCAAGAGCATACTAAAAAGGGGGGATTTTGATTTTAAAACCCCCTCCGAATTTGTTTTTACGCTAAAACCCCATCTTAATACATCATACATTCGTCACCAGATTCTATTAGCTTAAACCCCCCTCTAGCGGGGTTTGAAGCTAAAAACCACCTCTTCAATATAAAAAAAAGCAAATTACACACTTAAAGTTCTATGAGCGAAGCCAAGGGGAATTTTGAGTTTAAAGCCCCTCCTTCATAGGGCTCTAAGAACAAAACCCCCCTCCAGCGGGGTTTAAATCTAAAATCCACACTCTTCAACAAAAAAAAAAAGAAAATTACACAGTCAAAATTCTATTAGCGTAGCCAAGGGCGTGATTTAAACCCCCATCCATGGGGGTTTGAAGCTAAAAACCACTTTCTTCAATATAATAAAAAGTAAATTACACACTCAAAATTCTATGAGCGTAGCAAAGAGGAGTTTTAACCCCCCCCCCCTCCTCCAGAGGGCTTTAAGTTTAAACCCTTTCAGATGGTTTTGAGTTTAAAATCCCCCCTGTAGATAGTTTTGAGGTTGAAACACCCTCTCTTCAAAATTATTCTAAAGCAAACTACAGTCCCCAAATTTTATGAGCGTAGCTAAGGGGGTTTTGAGTTTCTTTTTAAAAAAAACTCCAGAGATTTTTTTAGTTTAAAACCTTCCAACAGATGGTATTGACGATAAAACTTTCCTTTTCGATATAAAATCTAAAGCAAACCAGTCACAAAATTCCAAGAGAGGTTACAAATTTCTACAAATGCTGGTCTTCATTAATAAAGTGCAGTGACTAGCATGGAAGTCATCTGGCGAAATGGAAAAAGGACTAAATGTGGCTCAACCAAGATGGCTAAGACGAATTTTAGGAGTTAGTTATAGAAATCGGGTCTCAATCAAGGAAATCGTATGCCGAACTGGGAGTCGA